TTAAGTTTTGTTTTAAAATGCTTTGGAACTGCTTTTTTAATGTTCCATAATGTTCCAACTGTAATATTAAAGTAGAAAACAGAAAAAAACCCAAAATGTCAAAAGTTTCATAACATATTAAGCTTAAATATAAATCTCTGACTATTGGTGTTGAATCGATAATTAATACAAAAACAAAAGAGAGGTTTTAGATAAGTATAAATACTTAGAACACAAATACAGTAGTAGCCATTCAAAATTTCCCCACATTCCTTGATGGACCCTTAGCTGGTCCTTGGTTCCTTTTTAAACATCAATCTTTGTACTAAAAAATTATTTTAGTCTGTCATGAATTGTGGACATTAAGATCTAAAGAGAAGCTTAATCTCCTGGTCAGACCCTGTGATTCAGTGAAAGAGTGCAGTTATTGTGGGAAAAAAAAGGCACACCCAGGAGGAGAAGGCCAGTGGCTGGAAGTTGGAGGGGAGTTGCAGGGGAGTCGGCTGCCATTTGGCTGGCCTTTGACTGGAAAGGACGATTTTGAACGGCTGCTACTGTATTCTGTACTTTGTACTCTGTATTTTCTCCAAATTGGCGTGTTACTTCTACACATATTGATAATAACACGATGCAACAGCTGCAACAAAACAGAGGAGGAATCAAAAGCACAAAGAGTTCAGTTTGATCCCAGTTTTTTATAGAAAAGCACTGATGGTGACATTGATGAAGACAAGGGACTGGAAAACATGGATCAGATTCTGAGACACAACACATTCCCCTTTATTAGATTTTTGATTCACGTGTTGATCATGTTGTGTTGATCATGTTGAACTCTACTTTTATTTCTAAGCTATTTGCAACTTTAAAACTTTAGTTTAATATATATCTTCCTGAAATTGTAACCTAGAACAAAACTAGACCCAGTCAGTATTCCAGAGCCAAAGAGGAAAATTAACCAATTTCCTGTGCATAAAATGGTTCCTTGTTAGGGTTGATTTTAAACATTAATTTTCTGTAATTTAAAGGGAAAAAATTTAATTTTACTTTTGTACTAAAGTACAATGTATAACCTGTACTTTTTCTGTAACTTCTGCTTCTATCTCCTTGAACCCCAGTCAGCCTCTGCAGATGGCCGCTCACACTGAGCCTGGTTCTGCTGGAGGTTTCTTCCTGTTAAAAGGGAGTTTTCCTCTCCACTGTCGCTACAAGCATGCTTTTGAGTCAATGACTCTATGCAATCAGCTGGTTTTCCTTAGATAGAAAACTTTGAATCAATCTGACTGGATGATCTGATGAACTGTAAAGTGCCTTTTGTATTTTTACTTTTATCATAAACCTTTTCTTTATACAGTATAATGTAGGTGGGTAGTAACTTGTTACATTTAATTGAGTAACTTTTTGACAAGAATTTACTTTTAAAAGTACTTTTCCATGAAGTATCACTAATGAGAAAAACTTTACCTAATAGAAAATTGGCACATTTCACCTAACATGCAGCAGACACAGACAGCTAAAGTTTATATTTTTTTGTATAATATTACTTATTTCAGTGTTTCTTTTATCTGCCGAGACTTTTATGACATGAAGGTCAAATTGTTAATAACCAGTAAAATATATATTTCTTTTTATTAGGGGTGGTTAACCGTGTTTTATCATACATACATTATAAGCTGTTAATTTTAAAAAAACAAAATACATTTTTTTTATAAATTCATATTACTGACTGTCAGATTAAGTCATTTAAAATATTAAAAAACTAATACTTTTTTCACTCTTGAATAATTTCTTGGATGGCTACTTTAAACTTTTACTCAAATATGGTTTCTTTTTTTTAAATGTATGTTTACTTTTGACACCTCTGTGATAGAACTGCCCGTATGTTTATACACGGCTCCTTTATCCGCTCAATTCCCTGAAATAAAATCCGATGCAACCAAACATCAATAGAAGTCAGCAGTGTGCAATTTAGCCCAAATATAAATATAAAATAAATAAAATGATGGAGCCGTTTAAAGCGTAGTTAGACCATTGACCTAATCTGACTAGCTGGGTAGGAAGCACATGGTGACTCTGGAGGAGTTGGAAAGCTGTAAGCTTTACAATCAAAGGGTCAATTTAAAGGGTTTAGGCTCTGTTGATTATTACAGTCTGACAGATGTAGGTAGTAACTAGTTACATTTACCCAGTTACATTTGCTTGAGCATCTTTTTGAACAGAAAGTAACTTTTAGGAGTAATTTTACAGCCTTTTACTGTTTAATTCCTCTTTATTTCTATAATCATATTCTTTGAAACACCATAATTTGCATATGAATGTATATGTTGTCCAATATTATAACATTTTGAAAAGTATAAAATCAGTTACAATCTTGGGTAGTAAGTAGATCAGTTGTTCAGTAGCATTTTTATCAAACACCTTTTAAGTATTATGCTGCATTTAACCGAAGGGGATGGGTTAAATGCAGAGAGTAAATTTCCCCAAATAAAGGAATTTACACATTTACAATTTCTTTAAAGGCAACTTTTTTAATATTTTAGTTGCATTTCAATATGATGAAGTATTGCTACTGTTAAGTACAATCGTTGGGTACTTGTTCGCCTCTGCAGGGTCATCAAAAAGAAAAAGATCCCGGGAAGAGCATACTGATCTGTCAGAATGGTCTAGTTAAAGTTCAGACCTAAATACGTTCAAGAATCTGCTGCCAGGCCTGGCAGCTGAAGTTTAATGGCTTTCGCTATTTAACAGGGTTTGCAAAGATGTGTTGGAAAAAAAAAAATTGTTTAATCCTGACGGATGGCATATCCTATGCAGGTTGATTACAGGAAACCTAAACGTTCCTAGTGGTTAGAGCAGTGTACTTGAGCTCTTGAGCAAGGCCCTTAACCCCACACTGCTCCCTGGGCGCTGCACAATGGCAGCCCACTGCTCCCCAAGGGGATGGGTTAAATGCAGAGGTAAATCTCTCCAGTGTGAGATCAATTATTATTATTAAATACATTTTAAGTTATGTTAAAAGATGAGAAAAGCTAGTCAACCTTTTCACCACACCTGAGATTCTCTGTATTTGAATCCATGCAGTTTGCAGGGAGAAGCTGCAGAGCAGGTTGGAGGGAACATGTTATTGGGGCTGAGCTCATGGTGTCGGAATCAGCCACCGACTCCAGCGGTCCAAAGAGCCACAGATGCTTCCCCGGTTTGTGTGTTGACTCTCGTTAATTTGTTTGCTCTAATTTGTTTTGCCGTGCCAGGGGAGTTCTGATTTTAATTTTGCTCTGTGTGTGCTTACCCCTCTTTGTGGATCGCTGGTCTGTTAAGCGCAGAGAGAGGGAGGGAGGGGGCTCTCCACAGAGCCAAATAAAAAAGGAGCGGTACAGATTGTTTTAAGCTCTGGCAGCTCCGTCAGGCCCAAAGGCCTCGCTCTGAGCCTGCACCTGCTCCGTCCCCTGGGAGCCTGGTTCCTGAACCGTGGCCCTTGAATCTCCTCCTCAGGCCCCTGGCCCAGCCACCCCATCCCCTCCTCTTCACTGCACTTTTATTTTTTTCTCCTTTCCATATTTTACTCCTTTTCATTCCCCCCTCCTTTGACTCCCAACAATCCCTCCATTCTCAGCTTTGGCTGTTTTTCTTCACCCTATCCCTCCTCTCTACCACCTGCTCCTCCTCTTATCCCTCCTTTCACATTTTGCTCCTTGTTACTCCTCCTTTCTCCCGACCTTCAGTAAATCTGCGCTGCAGTTGGCTCATCCTCCAGCAGCTGGCAGATCCACTATAGCACCTGAACGATTTCAACTTGTCTATTTGATAACCCAAAAACAGAAAATAAAAGTAAAAAATATGACAATAAGAACCTAACATCTGGTATACCATCTTTCCTCCTCCAGGAGTGAAGCGGCACCTAAAAAAATCAAAACAAGATGTTTAAAATTGTCACAGCTAGCTTTTATTGAAATCCACCCGTCGCTCCACTTTATGACTGCACAGCCACAGGTGTTAAGATCGGTCCGTCAGACCAACACAGCAGGATACACATCGTCACACAATATTTACATCACACCACCATTAAATTCCAGTAACAATTCATCTACTTTAAATATGGCTTGATTAAATCAGTCCAGCTGCAGCGTTTGATGGATCAGGTCAGATGAGACTCCGCTGTTTTTGGAGGGAAAGACAGAACTTTATCTTTTACATTTATATAACTAACCAGCCTTCAGCTTGTTAAAAGGTACGGGGGACATGAAAATAAAATGGGATTTTATTAGCCATGCAAGTACACTGTAAAAAATAAATGTTTTTTATTCTAATTTAGTGGAATTTGCCTTTAATTTGGGCAGTTAGATAAGATCCTCTGTCAATGGAATGAGAACACTGGAAAAAATAGATCTAAATAAGTCATTTTTTCTTAAAATAAGTGCATTTTTTTAAATTGAGGATTTAAGTGAGACACTTTGCCAATGAAACAAGACCGTTTACTTTTAAAATAAGAAAAAAACTATTTTAAGGACATATTTCAAGTGCATATTATCTTATTACCTTATTTTAATAGTAAAGAATCCTCATTCCATTGGCAATTCATCTTATTTACCTACTCAAATTGAGGGTTAATGCACTTAATTTAAGACGTTTTGACTTACTTCCTGATCGTTTTTTGCAGTGCACAGGGCAAACAAATATAATAAAGTCCATTTCTCCTCATATAAGTGTATTTTCCTTTGTTTTCTGCCGGTAATAAAACTATCTGTGATTGAAAGGAAGATTTACATGTAAGAACACTGGAAAAAATAGAAATCTAGATAAGTGATTTTTTCTTAAAATAAGTGCATTTGTTCTTGGATTGAGGAGGTAAAAGAGACATTTTGCCAATGGAACAAGATAATTTACATTTAAAATAAGAAAACACAATTGCTTTGTCTTATTTCAAGTGCATGTTATCTAATTATCTTATTTTAAGAGTAAAAATACTCATTCCATTGGCAAACTATCTCATTTACCTACTCAAATTTAGGTTAAATGCACTTAATTTAGGAAATTTTAACTTATTTCTAGATGTTTTTCCAGTGAACAACAAAACAAAACAGCTTCATCATCTTATTTCAAGAGAATATCTAAATTTCTTATGTTGAGGAAAATACATGTATTTTCAGATTTTTTTAAACATATTTTTAGATGATTGTTGTAGTGTATATTTGTTTATATAACTAGAGATTTAATCTTATTAAATATTAATTAGTAGAAATTGAATTCAATCTGTAGATTGTGCTCAAAACAAGGGAAAATATGCTTAGATTAAGTAAAAATGGGCTTAGTTATATCACTTTCTTTGCAGTGCAGGCATGAGCCACTGGTTTAATGGTATCAGGGTATTTATGTGAATATTTCAAACACAATAAATGTTATGAAATATTTTCTTTAAACAGAAAGTAAGACACAAGCAAGGAGGGATGACAGTAGGTATTTAGCAATGCTGCATTTCTCTATGCGCCTGAGAAACCTCCTGTCCTTCCAGTCTTTGTTTCCTCTGATGAAAAAGATTTAGAACACAAAAACAATAGAAACTTTTTTAAACCTTCATATCGGTAGTCGACCTCAGTTGGTGCAATTTACCAGCCAGCCAGGCTTAATTGGTGAGCCATTTTGTTTTGGAGCAATCAATGTACAGGTGGTGGGGGGGTTGAGTTTTCCCTTGCTGAATGAGCAGCCTGCTGCTTCTAGGAAGGACGCTAATGAGGGCAGTGAGACTGAACCAAAACAAAACAGAGAGGTCGTCTGGCTGGGGAGAGACCTGATTCAGTCGTTTCTGAAAGAGGGATTCTTTCCTCTGGGACAGAAACTAGTTTAAACAAACTTATAAACCTCTTTTAAAACAGCTTTAGTCTGAGAAATCATCAGTTTGGTGACGACTTGTTCCTGACAGATCAGGGTTTAAAACATTGATGAGAATAGTTGCTCATACTTCAGATACATTATCAGTTTTACATTTCTGCTTATCTCACCTGTTTTTAGAAGGTCTAAAAACCGCTTTCTCTGGTTGTTCCTGTTCATATTTGTTGGTATCTGTGGTAAAGATGTGCAAAAAGCCAGAAAACAAAATCATCTTTATTTCTAGTAGCATAACACTTGAACTGAGGTTTTTAATATTTTTATTTATCTTGTTTAAATTAAAGTTTTTAGGAATTTCTAATTAGTAATTTACGTTTCTCTCTTTCCCTGGGACGAACATATGAGGTGGCCTTTTTTTTTAGCCTTGAAGCTTTAGGAGAACCCATATTTATCTTGCAAACTTGGATCGTGAGCAGGGTTGTAAAAGAGGTGAAAGAATCCCTCACAGTTCGAAAACAGCCGCAATAGAGGCATATGGCTCTAAAACATCCATTAGGTGAGGAAAAACCTTAAACGTAAACATGGCCGTCACTAAACTCCAGTTCCTTCCAAAGGAAAACGTCTTCTGTCAGATGAACCTCAGCTTTTCAACATAAAATACGGTCATTGATTCATTATTTGCATGAATGCAGGATAAATATGCAGAAAAGCATCACATGCTGATTAATAGGTACGGTAGGGGAGCTGTGATGCTGAGTGTTTCCTCGCCATCCTCAGAACCCAGTAACCTTATCAGAGTTCATGGCAACATAAACTCCAGGTATTAAAAGAGAATAAAAGGAGCATTGAGGATGGATCATCTATACAGAGCGGTACTAAACATTTCAGCCTGGAAACCTTTGAAAAGAACAGTGCAACAGACTGGTGGCCCAATAGAAACACATAGGAAAGGTTTCTAATCTGTATTTATAAAAAAATTACTTCAGTAAAGTAATTATTGTTATTTTTACATAAAGTTATTACTTAAAAACTATGATTAATTATTTAATTCATTGTTTTAAATGTATTTTCAATTATATAATCATTTTATGGTATATCTAGTATTTAATTTATGTATTAAATAAGTATGTAAAATAAAAAATATGTCTGCTTATTTCATGAGGCATTAATATTTATGCATTTCATAATATATTTTGTCCCTCCATTCACCGTGACAATCCACTTTTGACCAGATGTTTTTGTCTCATGGTCCTTCTGTGGGTCTCGACCCCCCGTTTCTGATCTAGGAGGACAACCTCTGTGTGTCCCAACCCTAATAAACAGGACAAAGGAAGTCTTACATACAGAAAGGCTATTAAAATAGTAGGTTCCTGCTAAAATACAAATACTTTAATTAAACCTTAATAAGAAGAAAATCTGTGTAAAATTAAAGCATGAATTTATTTTGAGGCTTTTCACACGTCTCTAGCAGCAGTAACCACCAACAATCTCTGTGATTCTTTTTAAATCATGTCCTTATTGAGCTCCCCTACCTGAAAACTGCTTAATGCTGACATTGTTATCCTCTCCATTACGACCTTTTAGTTTTAAACCATCTCACTGATGACGTTCAGCCAATAGAAGTGATGCATTCTCGCTGCCTGGATAATTAACAGAAACTTTACATCCATCAAAACATCCTCCTGGCCTTAACAGCACACTCTTTCCTTTCACATGAGGTGAAAATAATTTTCCACTAGTGCAAAACAACATCTCTTAAAGCGATAAGAAAACATAAAATTACAAAAATATATTTAAATACATAAAAAAAATCAAATGGCACTGTTAATAAATAACTGTAAAACAAACAATGACTAATGTCACAATATTCTGAGCACTAAGGCTGGTTTGTTTCTGAGCTCAGTTTCAGGCTGCAGTCATCACTCACTGCTCCTCCTCGGGAATCTGCTCTGCCCTTTGCCTCCATCTAGTGGTCAAAAATATCCACTACATCTCTGACACAAAATGCCCTGAAACTATAAAAAAAATCCATTAAACATAAAGTGCATGAAGATAAAGTAATTTAAGATGAAAACTTGTAACTAAAACAGGCACAGATTCGTCCTTCTGCCCTCCATCCAGTAAACCTCCAGGTTATAATAAGATAGCTACGATACACAGCAGCATAAAGGACATGACACTAGGGTCTGAGACGGACAGGAAGTGACACCCGCTGCTGTCTGCTTACTATTCAGCACGCAGATGGTACACAGCAGAGATACTGCAGCTGTTCCTCCTGAGCCACATGATCGATCTCCACCTGTTTGAATGGATTTATGCATTTTGACACATGGCAGGGTGGCGATTAGTAGCATCGTCTCATGGCGAGTGAAGTGCCACCTGTCCCATTTGCATTACTTCCCGTTTCATCGCTGCACTTCTCATGAGATCAAACGTCTAGTTTATATTACTTTCTCTGAGGATCGGGCGAATAAGGCAAAGAGGGACTGCCCCTGGGACAGTCCACATGATGCGGAGGGGGACAAACGGTACACGGTAAGTTCTAATATGAGGTTGCATCCTCTGCATATAAACACCCGGTCTGTAGGGAGTTTTTAACATGCTGGGTTTTCCACATGTGAAACCACACAGCTGCCTATTCCAGTTTCTGCCGGTCAAAGCGGTCGAAGCTCAAACCTCCAGGTCTGGCATCGTCTCTTCTTTAAGCTGAATGTCATTTTCGGAGCCGGTCCCAACGTCCGAGTCAAAAAGCGAGTGGTCCGACTCGGGGGAGGGAGTGTGTGTGTTTCTGGCTGACTGGCTGCTGCTGTCGCTGTCTTCCAAAGTGTCAGTCCTGGAGAACAGGCCAAAGTCCAGCAGGCCGGCGGGGCTGCTACTGCCGCTGCTCTCGCTGTCTCCGTCGTAATAAAGATCCTCCACATCCACAAACCACTCGGGCCAGAACTTTCTTCGCATCCGTTCGCAGAACATGGCCAGGTTGATCAGCTCTCCTGAAGAGAAACCAGCAGAGCATCGTGTCAAGGATTATTGCACATGAGCAGTGTGTAAACATAAAACAATAAAAACCTGCAGATTCACTATTCACGTCTTTGTGAAAGTATTCCTACCCCTTAAACCTTTCTCGTTTTTATCACATTACAGTTCACATTTTGTATTTTATTTTGTTTCTTATGTAATAAAATAAGAAAATGTTGCATAATTATAAACCTGACAGAAAATTTAATAAATGTTTTTAAATAAAAATCGAAAAAGTATGACGTCAATTTTTCTTTTACGCCTGATTTCCCCTGATGTTCTTAAATAAAAACCTGGGACCAAATAGTCTATAAGTAGCTACAAAATCATTACAAAATTTAAATGGAGCCCAATCAAGTTTATTTAGTGATTAATTCAGCTGTTCTGTTTCTGACTTCAAAGGTTTGTTAGAGAGCAAGGAACAGCTTTCTGAGATTCTCACAGGGAAACGTTTAAGTCTTCATGATATGCAGACAAAAACCATTGGTATCCCTCGTTTAATTATCGATAAACCCACGATGGTCACAGAAATAACTGGAATCTGACTAAAGTTAAGAATAATGACGGTTTAATGTTTACATGTTTCATGATCTGAAATAGAGCTGTGCAAATTTGTAAATGTTCTTCAATCCCTATTCACAGACCGTTACTGCATGTCACTCCCACTTATCTCATCATCCGTTTCCTATCTAGCAACTAGACTAAAATAAAGGCCAAAAGAGCCAAAGAAAATAAAACTTAAAAATAAGAAAGGAAAAATATTATAAAGTTAAGATGCTGAACATTGAATTTGATTTGTAAACCCTTCTAAGTAACATTTATCATTTTCTAATAACTTCACAGTTGACTGAAAAGAATCCCCAAAAGGCCTCCTGAAAAGAAGCTGACCTTTAATGAGTTGCTCTGGCCAGGTCCCAGGTAGCGTCCACATAGCTTGAGCTAGATGGCCAAACACTGTGGCATCTAGTGTTGACATCTTGGAGCCCATGAAGTATTTATTATCTCCTACAAGAGAAACAACAGCTACATTATACAGTGATGACAGCAGGAACTCAACTGCTCCTTTAACTGCTCCTTGTTTATCCTAATGATGCGTTTGTTTCTTTCCAGCCTTCGATAACTTGTCGACTGCTTTTGATCTTCTCAGGAATAGCGAATGTTTTGAATTATTGTTCTTTGTTGAAAATGAACAACATTAGATTTAAAATAAAGGAATATCTTCCATCTGTATAAAGTTGACAACATGTTAGGTTCTGTTCTGATGACTTTCTATTATAACCAACAGGAAAACATTTGTTAAATAATAAAATAAAAAATAAATTCATAATTGTTTTATTTACTCACAATTGCACCCATAATAGTTTAGGATTGTGTTTTTTGAAGAAAAAGCTAATTAACACTATTATATAAGCTGTGCGCTGACTGTTTTATGTTGTATAGAAGTGACAGCATGATTGAGCCTGGATGCCTGTTCCTACCCAGCAGAGTGGCCAGCGTTCTCATGTCCTTCTCCATTAGCATGTAGACCTCCTCTTTGGTGAAGCGGCCGATGCCGTGGCCATACATCTCTCTGCGCACCATGCCGCCGTTCAGGTGGCTAAGCAGCCACTTCAGGGTGTCACTCAGAGGACCGTCCATTGCCAGGAGCTTCTGCGTTTCTTCTACGTTGTCCACCCACTGGCAGTACGCTATGGTCCTGAGGGAACAGGCAGAGTCACCAGAAGTAAAAACAGCTTTGGCTCAACTTTCATTTTATTACAGGATTCTAAATGTCAGGTAATTCAATTGCAGGGATATTTTACTTTAAAAATATGCTTCCTTTATCTATTTTAATAGAAAAAAATCAGCTGTTTAAAGGGAAATAAGGCATTTAGCGCAGCATACTCTGCTAGGAAATGTTAGAACCTCTATTAAAAAAAAAACTTGGTCCCATTCTTTCATTTTCCCCTTTTTTCTCAGATATACTACTTTTGAAAATTATTCCTGAAGTATTTTTTCTGTGCATTAATGTTCAAAGAAACTCTGTATCCACACAGCAAAACCTTAAAGGAATAGTACACCCAAAACATGATTAGCCTTCATTTTCTACTCACCCCCATGCTGAACAACACTCTGGAGTACTTTTTTGATATCTCAAATGCATCTGGAGATCTGGGAGGCTTCTTGCTGTCTGCTGACATTCAAATAATGGAGGTCTATGGCGCCCGAGGCAGAAGGGTCCATAAAAGTCCACAAAAAACGTGTCAATATTCCTCCATACTGCTCGTCCAATGTATTCCAAGTGTCCTGAGTGGGTAGCATCCAGAATTTACTCGAAACAAAGTCATTTAGAATGTTTTTACAGCATAAACAGTAGTGTATAGGATTTCCTAAAAGCGCGCGCCTGCGAGTTCACGAGCCTACGGAAGCCGGCAGACCAAACCAGATGAAAGTGCGCATTCAGCGTCTGCTCTGCCGATAATGCAAGCGTAGAAGAAGAAATGTGCTGTTTACCTGTGCAAAGAAAGAAACAACGAAAGAAAAATGCCTGAGGACTTCAGTGTTGAGGAAGAGCATGAGTTCTTTGCCGAGCTGAATGCGCACTTTCGTCTGGTTTGGTCTGCCGCGGTTTCCGTAGCGTCGTGAACTCGCAGGCGCGCGCTTTCAGGAAATCCTATACACTACTGTTTATGCTCTAAAAACATTCTAAATGACTTCGTTTCGAGTAAATTATGGACGCTACCCACTCAGGACACTTGAAATACATTGGACGAGCAGTATGGAGGAATATTGACACGTTTTTTGTGGACTTTTATGGACCTTTCTGCCTCGGGCGCCATAGACCTCCATTATTTGAATCTCAGCAGACAGCAAGAAGCCTCCCAGATCTCCAGATGCATTTGAGATATCAAAAAAGTACTCCAGAGTGTTGTTCAGCATGGGGGTGAGTAGAAAATGAAGGCTAATCATGTTTTGGGTGTACTGTTCCTTTAAGTCTATTTTGCCTTCATTTGAGCACATAAGACGATTCCAATTGAATAAGATAAAATAAGAGAAAACAAAAACTACTCCTTATCCTTTCTGACATACCCCGAACAACATTAATTCACAATTTATCTTGATTAAATCCAAGAGCGTTTGCTTCTCGTTACTGGATTTCCTTATTTATTTGTATCTAGATGAAATCCAAGGGCACCAAAACAGATTTAAATGTTTCGCATTTTTCAATTGAAGATTTCATAAGAGTTTATTTTTCTAAACCACATCAATTACACAAAAATACAAACTGCATCTATTAGCAGTGAGCAGCTTTGACTATGGATGAAAATATTCCTTTTTGGTTTGTAGTATCTAATATTAAAGCTGAAACGTTGTTGCCTCCCATTTTTAGAAAGGTTTTGCATAAATTGAGAGTGTTCTCTTATTATAAAAGAATTATAAAAAAGTGAATCCCCTCAACAGTCACCCCAGCTGGGATACGCACTTACGCTTCCTGTATGCCGGATGGGTGACTTACCAGTTGAGCTACTTACTTGTCTATCAAACACATAAAATTGTGAAAAATAAAATTTTTATGAAAATTACGGTTAAAGCTACAGTGTGTAATTTTCAGCAACATCTAGCGTCTAGAATGCAGACCGCAGCAACATGAACATCTCCCCCCCACCGCTTCTCCCCCCCAACAGTACGGCGAGCGTTACGGGACAAAATGTCTTCCATGACGTCCGCATCACCTACCTTCTCAAGTGATGAGGTTTGTTTACATAGATAATTTTAATACTGCCATCTATTGTTCAGTACCGTCTCAGTTCATCTCTCTCAACTTGCCGTAGTTACTTTCGAGTGTAATGGGCGATCTCGCAATCGCTAGTTTGTTGGCTCTGCGCTGCCGTAGCGCAAAGATGTCTGCCTCCATGGCTGCGAGACCCGCTCCTATGTAATTATAAATAACTAATTCTAAGACAACGCAAATATTAAGGTTAAGAGGCTGAGCTCGTAGATGATGATAAATAACATAGTTATGTATAATATATTACATTTCTGACTGTATATCCCTGTAATTATTACACACTGTAGCTTTAAATAATGACATCTAAATTTGAAAAAAATAATTTATTTAAGGGCTGCTCGGTGGCGCAGTAGGTAGCACTGCTACCGGCCCTTATTTCTGCGTGGAGTTTGCATGTTCTCCCTGTGCATGCGTGGGATCTCTCAGGGTACTCCAGCTTCCTCCCACAGTCCCAAAAACATGACTTAGGTTAACTAGCTTCTCTAAATTATCCTTAGGTGTGAGTGTATTCATGGATGTTTGTCCTGTTTGTCTCTCTGTTGCCCTGCGATGGACTGGCGACCTTTCAAGGGTGGACCCCGCCTCTCGCCCGTAGACAGCAGTGGATAGACACCAGCACCCCTCACGACCCCAGCAGGAATAAAGCATGACGGAAAATATGGATGGATGGTTTATTTAAAATGTTGAGAATTAGTTCACATGAATTACTTTGGTAGTAAATTAATTTTGTTTTTATTAAAATCTTTAAGTGAAGTAATTATAATATTAATACATAAGAATAATAATACAATTTATCTGTATTTTTAGGGGTTGACCAGTCTGTTGTACTCTTATTTCTGATGTAATTATTTAGACTAATAGAGAAAAATATACAAATATATTTTATGATAAATATTCCAGCTCTGTGAGAAACTGAAATCAGCACCAGTGGATCAAAACATAACAGAAATTTAGGAATCAGGATAAAAAATAAGCCTCTGATCGGTTCATCTCCAAGCAGAACTTAGAAGTCTATTAAAACATGTCATTTCCTGATGAGCTTCATCCTCTCAGTCATCGTTTAGTAGCTGTAAACTCCAAGAGGATGGAAAAGGTCCTAATGTCTCGCAGCACTCCTTTGATATAATTAGTTTGACTGGTTGCTCGAGGGAAATGAAATCAAAGACTCTGGGCAATATCATCTCTGACTGAACACTAATACTTGACAGACTATCCGAGATCTAAAAGACAGCCTACGCTTTGCTCAAAACAAAAACAACTCGGAGGCCTGGTGCCGGAAAGGAAATTAGATCTCTTCTCCTTTGGGCCAAAAGGAGAACAGACAGAGGTATTGGATTACAGCTTAAACTAATGGAGAATACTTAAAGGTTCAATACGAGATGGAGCTGAACATTTGCAGTTAGCACCTAAATGACTACGTTCTCATGTTAAGCTAAAAGGCAACAACAGACTGTAAAATATGGATATATTCTATAAAATATAAGCAGGTATAATACTGTATTTAGGAGGAAGTTTCAAGCTCCAGCCATTTAAATCGCAACAATGATTCTTGCGCATATCTAATTGCGTAAAGAGCAACAAGCTGTCATGGTGTCCTTTATAAATAATTCAGCACACGGATGTAGATGTGGGTCTAAATATGGCAGGTGGCTGTAGTAGCAGAGAGATCAGGATGTGGTTTACACAGCCGAGCTCAGCTACTTCTATGAATCCCCCTGCCAAACATCAGGCAAACAGTCGAGCCAGCAGCTGAATGTGGGTTAAAATAAAAGTCTCCCGTCATGCTGGGTTCTGATGTTATCAAATAGATGGAAGTGAAACAGCTCGGGTTAAATCAGTGCATGTGAAGGGGATGATGGAGCACTTAGGTAATGGAAAAAACTCGGCATGTTTTTTTTGTTTGTGTCGGAGGAGGCAAAGAAAACCCAAAAGCATAGAAATAGAGGCAGCAACTCTGATGTAACTCAACACTAGGGGTGAGTATTGGAATGGGTGATGCGATACGTGTCACTATACTTGGATCTGATCGATATTATGATGATATTGCAATATCACTACATATTGCAATATTTTTCCCAGCAATTAAAATTGAATGTATAGATAAAAAAATCAAGTGCTCCATATGTTTATATGTTCATCAGAAGATCTTAATCATTTAGCTATTTTGGTATCCATGCTGTTTGGGGTTTGAGTTAGTCCAAGGTTACACTGTTACTGCCTCAACTACAGCGTAGCACAGCAAAAGGGCTCCACAGCGCTATCTACCAGAGTGGCAGTTTAGAGGTAGCCCATTTCCCCTCATTTTTTTAGGAAAAATTGTTGTACTTTTATTCAAAATCGATACTAGGAACTGAAAGATCAAGATATATTGCCAAATCAATTTTTTCCCACACCTCTATTTAAAGTCATAGGGAAACGGCTGTTCCAACCGTAGCATTTCCGAATTCTCCTGAGTGGTGCCCGATTTTACACGATGAATAAAGTGAATGTGATTGGTCGTTTATCAAGGGGGCGGGATTGTTGTGGCAGAGGGTTCGCAAGCAACTTTGGTTGTGGCCGGTTTGTCAGAAGCATCTTGCTAACCAGTTAGCACCTTAGTGCTAGGAGGTTCCCAATGGGAAATTCCATTGGGACCAAGTAGCACTAAATTGGTGACTTAGAAACGACACTGTCAAGGAACGCTATGGACAGAGGAAACAAGAGGAGGAGAGTTTAGTGTCAGAGGTCGTGGATGAGTCTCCTCTGTCATCCATTTTTTATTTAGAGGAGGAAAGCGGGACGAAGATGTTGTGAAGAGGACGCCAGGGCGGCAGAAGCTTGGTTTATTGTAGAAGGCTTACAGTCGTATATGTTTAAGCACTCATGCTACGTTCACACCTAAAGCAGCAAGAGCAGCAAAAATGCGCATGCTACTTATACTAAACTTGTATAAGTTTAGTTCTAATGCGCTGCTTCAGCTGCGCTGAGGTTAAGTGGGTCTGATGCGCGCTGGGTGGAGCTACACTATCCTGTCTTTCACTAGCAGCTTTATTTGCTGTGATCAGTGGGAATAAAGTAGTTTTAATATGTTTTTAAGTGAGAAAGTCCACCTAAAAAATGTATCTGTGCAGTCACAGACGTCTATCCCCGTGAACACTGGGACGTAACTCAATGGTAAAGTAAATGATCCTTATTTCTTATTTCAACCGTTGCGTATATTAGCTGCGACATATGAATCAAGATGCTATGACCGAAAAAATGTGATTGACAGATGACCGTTGATATATGATTGGCTGAATTTAGGTGTTCACGCTGACGTATAACTAACTGGCCTGCAGAAGATAATGAAAAAAAAAAGATTCTTTTTTTTTATAGAAATTTTCTAAATTTTGGGACAATATTGTCTGATAAATAGTACATTTATATACATGTTTAAGCCAGAAGTTTTGACATTTAAATATTATTTCCCTAGGACTTTAACACAACCAGAGGAGCACATCAGCAAAGCCCTCAGGAAACCAGCACTCCAACGGTCTTATCAGCACGCCAAGAAGAAACAATATGCCATTAAAAATAAACTCACTTAGTACCAAACTGTCATAAATACAATCTTTTATAATCTGACCACCAATCTAATAATTTCTCTACACTTAATTCCAATTTCAGTAAATGTGTCTCTGTTTTCTCTAGAGTTCATATAGCAGGTTGTTTGATTGAAAAGCTTATGTTACAGAGTTGGAAAATAAATGTTAAATAGATGACATTCCTCCTGCTGCTCAAAAAATCTCAAACTTGATTAGAAAATGGACCAATTTAAAGCATTATTCATTTCATTATGTGAGGTTGTTGACCCCCCCATCCTCACCAGTAGAGGTGCTCCTCCACCATTTTGGTTACAGCTCTGGAAACAGCTATTTCCTGCGGGGTGAGGTTCTTGTTCAGGTTGACCCCCAGCTTCTCCTCCAGGAAATCCACAATGAACTCTGAGCCTGACACCTGCTGGTGGTTGTATTCGATCCAAGGCATCTTCCCCTGCGGCGACAGCTTTCCATCAAAGTAGTTCTGCAGGTGATAAGGAGACATGATTAGTTATGATTACACAGGTAGACTAAATAAACCTTGACCATTAACTGATCGGACGCTGAGAGTTTCCAGCCACATATGAGCTAAAGTCCGAGCTTTAGAAGTGTTACTTTAAAGCTACAGTGTGTAATTTTTAGCGACATCTAACATCCAGACTGCAGACCGCAGCAACATGAACATCTCCCCCCCACCGCTTCTCCCCCCCCAACAGTACGGCGAGCGTTACGGGACAAAATGTCTTCCACGACGTCCGCATCACCTACCTTCTCAAGTGATGAGGTTTGTTTACATAGATAATTTTACAGATAGTATTTCATTAGTCTGTGTGTTCAGCAACGTCTCAGTTCATCTCTCTCAACTTGCCGTAGTTACTTTCGAGTGTAATGGGCGATCTCGCAATCGCTAGTTTGTTGGCTCTGCGCTGCCGTAGCGCAAAGATGTCTGCCTCCATGGCTGCGAGACCCGCTCCTATGTAATTATAAATAACGAATTCTAAGGCAACGCAAATATTAAGGTTAAGAGGCTGAGCTCGTAGATGATGATAAATAACATAGTTATGTATAATATATTACATTTCTAACTGTATATCCCTGTAATTAATACACACTGTAGCTTTAAATCTAATTAACAAGATATAGAAAAAGTGCCAATACACCAACAGTCCTTTCTCATTGGTGAACAGACTTTACTTTACACTCGTTCTGTAGAAAATCTTTAGAAAATCACCACATCAGAGCGAAAGAAAGCAAATGTGAGCCTGAGGCCGACAGTGGAAACTAGGGATGGAACGGTTTATGAAAACCGTCCGAACCGCTCGGTTCGACTGTCTCGGTTTGATTCGCGTGTGTTTTGTTCGGTTCATGCGCTGCTCCTTTTTCTCATAGGCGAAGCGTTTACACTCCAGAGCAGAAGGTGGCGGTACTGCGACCAAAGCCAACCACCAGTAGTAAACAAGAAGAAGAAGAAGCGAAGCAGCTTAGCCGGGTGTAGCAGAAAAAAATCAGTTGTTGTGGAGAATTGTGTGGGTATGGCGAGTGGGAAAGAACAGGGGTTGGAAGACGCGCCAGCAGCACTTTATAGGTCTGCTGTATGGGAGCGCTTTGCATTTAGAGTGACCTACGATGACGGCGGAAAGAAAGTTGTGGATAAAAGTACTACAGTGTGCAAGCATTGTGCAACACGTGTTGTACTATACAAGACATAATAGATTTTCCTAACAATAAACATATACCAAACCGAACCGAAAGCCGTGACTATGAAACCGTGAACCAAACCAAACATGGATTTTGTGTACTGTTCCACCCCTAGTGGAAACAGATTCAGTCTGAAAACCTTCACTGAACCCATGTCCAACCAGGGGGGGATTTACCATTAGGCAATACTAGGCAGTTGCTTAGGGCCCCAAGTTCCTGGGGGCTCCATAAAACTGTGTTTACATGTATGGTTAATACAACTATTCCTTATTTGTGCGTATTAATTATGTTTTTGATTAAAATCCTTTGGCCAAAATGCCATCAGAACACTTATAATATTAAGTGTGCTTGGAAAAAATCTTTCATTCCTTTTGAGACAGCATGAAAAGTCAGCTGAGTACAAAACATAGAGAGGAAAACAAGAAAAGGGACAAGAAGAGAGGGACAAAACCTAGAACGAACAATGAATGTCTATTCTAATTACATTTCTCTATCTGTAGAATGGGTCTTTTTTATGTGTTGTCTTCTCAATTCAGAGGGCCCGCTGCCTGTCTTTGCCTAGGGCCCGACATTTCCTAAATCCGCCCCTGTGTCCAGCAAAAGAATTCCCACCCTTTAAATATTTACACAATATTCCATATTACAACCAGGAATGTTGTCTGTTTTTTGTTTTATTTAGAAAACGCCTGAAGGGAAAGAAAAACCAAACATTGTTTTACTTGTATTTTTTTTTTTGGGAAAAACAATAAAAAAGGATAAAATGCACTGATAGCGTAGAGATTTGGAATGTTGCATCCTTTCAGCGTCGCTCTCTGGTACCTGGTAAGGCAGGTCTAACATGCGCAGGTACGTCTCTATCTTGAGGCAGAACGGGGAGAGGCTGGGGATGCCGTTCTTTGGTCTGGAGAACTGATGTAGGATGATGGCATCTTTAGAGTCCAACTGCTGCTCCTTCCTGCACAGACCAAGGGAGAGAGAGAAAATAAATAAAATCTTCTCTGTACTGTTTACACAATATTTTATCTAATCCTAAACAAAATTTTATTTCATGTTAGATTTTTTTTAATCTCCAAAATATCAAACCAAAGTATTAAAAAATAAAGCTTGTTGTCTTCATTTTAGCTGCAAATTAAAACTATAATAAAGACGTATTCTGATATAATGGGAAACAGAGGCACCAGTATCCATTCCTGAATTGTAAAGCATTATGATGTTTAACACTTTAACAGCTAATTTAATCACTGAAGTCGTTCTCCGTTTTAAGGCCAATTAGCTCAGTGTTTTTTAAGGAAAGTCTCAGAGGCTTTAAACAATCAAAATAACCAAAGGCTGATCTTCCACTGTAGGCCAATTATCAATTCATCAACCAGAGCAGGGATTTTCCTTCAGCTTGAACAAACATAACATAAGGAAAAAACTCTAGTTTTGTCTTTTTTTTATGGAAGAAGAAAACATCATGAGGGGGAAAGAAAATAAATCAGATTGTACCCTATTTTTCTACTCCCAACACTTGATTCATGTAAGTAACTGAATCAATCAGGTAAATTATTTCATAGTCTGGATGAAAACCCATCGGCTTCAGAGGAGAACTCTGCTGTTAATCCTGTCTAGATAGTCTGCTGTTAAATATGTTTAGATGGGGATTTAATGTGTCATTTTAATCTATGTGTTTATAAGCCGATTTAAATGATCGACGTTCTTTTTTATGTTGAGCAAAAAATTTTTGTGGTGGAACAAAATCCAAGAGATTTTTCTATTATTTTATAATTAAATAAAGTCATTATGTCATGAGAATAATTTCATAACTCTTGGTTAATAAACTAAAGTTGTCACATTATGAAAATAGCTAAATGTTTGGTCTGTGAGAATAAGGGGTATTAACAAAGAATAAAGTGCAATAGTGGTAATGATATGAAAAAAAAGTGACTTTAAACAGAGAACAAAATGGTAATATGAGAATAAAGTCTTAATATTGCTAAAATAAAGTAGTTTTAAAATTCTAATAGTCTTAATATTTCAAGAAAAAGAATCGTACTATTATAAGAATAGTAAAAATAAAGAGATATTTTATATGAACTCTGTGTTTTCTGCTAAAAAGCTAGAATCAGGCTGAAAGAGGGTTTTCATTAATCCACAGCAGTCAGTTTACTCCAAAGTGAAAAACTGATCTAATTGCCTTTCTTCAAGATTGAGAGAATTGAAGAAAATAAGTTAGGCAGAATGCTGTTGGGCTCCCCAGAATAAAAAGTAAATCATTTCAAGCTTTGTTGGGATTTTTGCAGAGGAAATTAATTTTGCCACAGACTCTGAGGGCTGCATGGGAGGAGGAGCTGGGCTTACAGATTGGGAGTGAGGTCTGGGAGGATTGTCTTGGGAGGATCCGATCATGCCCTATTAATGTAAAGCACCAGTTAATTCCGTTCAAGGTGTTTCACAGGCTCCACTATTCAAAAATAAAATTGCACAGAATATTCCCATCAATATCTCCAAAATATGATAGATGTAAATCTGCTGATGGCTCCTTGACTCATCTGTTCTGGTCATGCCCCAGGCTCTTTCAATATTGGTGTGACATTTTCAAATGGTTCTCTGAAGTGTAGAAAAATACCTTGATTCCGGACCCCCAAATTGCATTGTTTGGATACTCTCCCTCCCTTAGGAACTGCAGCAGTTCCATACAAACGACTGTGGTTTATGGAATGGTAATAGCTAAGAAAGTAATATTAAGGTTGTGGAAAACTGACAAGGTTCCTTGGTTTAAAATGTGGATAAGCGATTTTACTGATATTCTTTATTTGGAAAAACTGCGGTATGATGTTAAGGGCTACACTAATAAGTTCTGTAGTATTTGGCAGCCAGTTCTGGCTGCTCAGTTTCTTGGTATGCCACCCGTGCCTTCATGGATATGTAGTACTATTCTAAAGTGTAAATGGTAATCAGTGCAGTGTAACCGTTACTTAGATCATTTGTCTGGCTTGTTTCTATTTTTCATTCTTTTTTTTTCTTACTCTCTCTCTTCCTGTCTTTCTCTCCTCTCTTTCCCTCTGTTATTGAATTTTTTTTTGTATTACTACTATTGTTGTATTGGTAAGAGTATTTTTTTTCTTGAACCCTAATTTTTTAATATATATGTATGCTTTATACTCGGGTGTGTGATTTTTGTATTTTTCACTTTGAAAACTTAATAAACATATATAAAAAAAAAAAAAAAAAAAAAGGATTGGGAAAATTATTTCTTCTGGTGCAAAAAAAAATAAAAAATAGAACAATATAAAACCCCTTTTTTGAAGTACATAGCTACCAAAATGTTTATATATTTTTTACAATCTTTGTATAATTACTGCTCTAAGTGGGTTGATGGCACAGTGGTTAGCGCACACGAACCATGTATGGAGGCCGTTGTCCTCAACGCGGCCGACCCGGGTTTGAATCCGGCCTGAGGTCCTTTACTGCATGTCTCTCTCTCTCATACCCTTTTTCTTGTCAGCCTTCTGTCCATAAAAGACGAGCCACTAGAGCCGTAACAAATGATTAATTGATTACTAAATTAGTAGTTTCAGCCCGACCCTTTTCCATTGCTACTCTAAAGGCTGGGGCTTCTGAAAGTTGCGGTAGCATTTTCACAACCCTTTAAATTAAGTTTTACGTAACTTTAGACCCTTAACAGACCTTGTACTATGTGGGCTTTTAAGAGATGAGTTGCTTAGAGCCAAACTGCTTAATTCCTCCATCAGCAGTTGTATCTAATGAGGGTGAGTGTACAGGTGCCTGGTTCTGCTGGAGGTTTCTTCCTGTTAAAAGGGAGTTTTTCCTCTCTACTGTCGCTACAAACATGCTTAGTGTGAGGGATTGCCTTCAAGTCAATGAGTCGATGCAATCAACAGGTTTTCCTTAGATAGAAAACTTTGAATCAATTTGACTGGATGATCTGATTGAACTGTAAAGTGCCTTGAGATGACATGTGTTGTGAGTTGGCGCTATAGAAATAAACTGAATTGAATTAAATGTTGTTTATATCTTACTAGCCATGAAATGTGTTTAGAAATGTTATTAAGTGAGAAAGTACACCCCAACACTTCATCTGTGTGGTCAACCTATTTTTTATTTGGTATTGAAGCGGTTGGATTACCAGGTTCAGGCGGAGTGGGCCGCCAACTCAGTCGGAATATGGAGCGTGATCTCAGGCGAACCGCAGCCGCGATGTCGTCCAGTCGGACAGTTATCACCCATTAATTAAACAGTCATTTAAAGATTTTTAGAAGGAAAGTACATGAAAAACATTCATCTGTGAAATCAGTTGATCGAGATTATGATGGTAGTTTTTAAATATATTTTAGATCCTCCTGGTAAACTAGTCTGGCTGCTAGTCTGGCTACGCTAACCTGACGGTAGAGAGAGACCCGTCAAACCAGCCAGGGGCTCAGAGATTTCCTGCTGCCTGTATTCGTCTGCAGTGACTGAAAGTGAATATAAACCGTTCATGAAGTATGTGATGAACATTGTGAGTCTCAGAATAGAAAATGTATGTTTGGCCAGAAGGTTTTCACATTTCAGGTCACAGTAGTTAATAATTCTAAACTGTTTTGCCACAGTTTAAAAAAATATATAGAATCATAGAATATGTGACTGAGCTCATTCACCTTTTATTGTAGAAACACAAAACATTCTATTCTTCTAAGCCATTCTAGGTAAACCTCGCGTGGTAGAGCGTAAACCTTATATATACATGTATTAATATACGTTATATTTAGATTTTTCAGGGCTCTATGCTGACAGGACTGCTAGATAGATCACGAGTTGGATACTGTGTGTATATTTATGGGGATTCTTCTTTCGTCCAATCCAATCTCCACAGCTTCTGCCTGATATAAATATTTGCTTATGTGGTCAAGGACTTTGATAAATTACATTCTGACTTGGGGTGTACATAATAATTGTTTTGTACAGATCCATCGACACGTCTGCAAGAGTATCGATTCATGTTTTTTCCCCCTCCAGTCTATTTTTATCAATTTGCTCCTGGACATAATTCTGACTCCCGTGCTCTGGAGGCGCTAAACTGATTTTGCCCTTGTACCTCGCTTCCTTTAGCCACTACCCTCTTTCCGCTTGCACACACACACTCGCATAAACAGTAGGCAAGACAGACATGGCGGAAGAAAAAGAAGGAGACTTACACCCCTTGCGGGTTTAAGTCATTTGTGTGGAAGTATTTCGGGTTCCGTAAGGATGGAAGAAAACTGATAAAGGATATGGTTATATGCACAGCTTGTGGTTGTGAAATTCGCTACTGTGACAACCCATCCAATTTACCTGCTCACCTGAGAAGACGCCATGGTGAACAAGGCAAAGAAAAACAGCCCTCTACATCGCCACTGAACATTTTTCCCTCTGAAGTTTTAACCCAGCTCTAAGAGGGCGAGGAATATATCCAAAGCAATCGCGTTCTTCTTATTTACAGACATACGTCCCTATTGCGTCGTGGAGAACAAAGGCTTCCGATACCTGCTCGACACTCTGGAGCCGAGATACAGGCCTATTTTTTGTTACCATTGCACTTTTGCACTAATTTTGTTGAGTATTATTATTCTATAGTTAATGTAGTATAGACATATTGTTGCTACTTAGTCAGCTATTATTTCATGCAAGGCCTTTCAGAATCTATAACACAGAGGTATTATTATTTTTCAGTGAATGAGGTTTATATAGGCCTAGGTAGAGTACAACTTTGCTTCTTCTGTTATTTGCTGTTGTTTCTCAAATAAAATACATAACGATATTACAGCTTTTATTGATTTATTTCAAATTTGAAACATTGTCTAGCCTGTAAGGTAAAAAAAAAAATTAACCAATTTATTGAATCAAATCGTGGTGTATTCTTGAGTATTGAAAATAAATCGTCGAGTCAAGAAAATGGTGCTGAATCGAATCGTCATGATGCATGATACACCCCTAATTCTGACTGAAAGCATTTTTGATTGTGCTTTAGATCTACGATTTACCTGTTTATTACAGTAAAATGTGTAAATTAGGTTTTAGAGGGTTTATTTTCATGAATCATGCAGTTAAGAAAGCAACTGCACTCACATGCAGGTTGATAAAAAAATTAAATATCAAATCAACTTCAGAGATTAATTTATAGCTGGTCAGCACTGGAAGAAAAGGAAAACCAGTTCCATGTTCTCATTACTGCCACTCAGTGGACTGAAGGTGTAGTGCAGTGTGTTTCAGGCTACGGTTTGTAGAGTAATTGGAAAATACGCTGCTTAATTACCTGGAATTTTTTATTAATTGGGGGATAAAAATCCTAGGGCTTCCAGTGGAAAAGGGGCTGATGGCTCCTAAAGTAATGGACAGGCCCCCTAGGGGAAGACCAGTGTAATTACATGAGGAACGTGGTAGAAGGAAACTGAATAAATTACTAAACATAAGAGGTTTTTTATCATTTTTATGACAAATTTACTGCAGTTGACTTTTCTTTTACTGCGGTAAAGGGTGGAGTGGGGTTAATGGTAATTCACTGGGTGCAAACAATTTCTAATAAACAAAAGGGAGACCCCATCAAGACAGTTTCTGGAAGCACAATGTTGTTTTCTTTAACTGCTAATCACAACTTAAAGGTTTCTCAGCTTCTGTTTTAATAGCTCTACCTGCTGTTTGTATCCTGTTTGTTTCCAGTGGACTTCATCTCAGTGCTAATGCACAAAAACTGTCACCCTAATTAGAGCTTCTCTTATTGCAATGGCTCATTAGAGCAACAAATGCTGAGTCCCATTCAGCCGACCTGCTGGTTCATGTGCAGACTGACCTCTTTAGTAATTGAGTTAAGTATCGGAGGTTTGTCTGCTGCTGTGTCCTGATGTCCCCTTGTTTATGAGTGTGAAACTCATGTGAGTTGCTTTCCTCTCTCTTTGAATTACTGCTTTATCTTTTTTTATTTGCTGGCAACCATGAAAACACAGTGTTCAGCATTTCTTTAGTCAGATTTTAGACCATCATTCACCTTTGATTATTTGTCCTTTTTAAGTACAGCTGGCTGTTCATAGTTTTGTCTTTATTAGGATAATATTTTCATGACAAGTAATTTTTTTTTTATACAATAATAGAACTTTATTAATCTCAACTTCACCTCTGCATTTAAACCATCCCCTTGCGGAGCAGTGGGCTGCTGTTGTGCAGCGCTCAGGGAGAAGTTTGGGGTTAAGGGTCTTGTTCAGGGACCCAGAGTGGCAGTTAGTGGGAGTGGGGCTTGAACTCAGAACCTCTGGATTCATTTTTTTTATTACTTTAGTTCAAACTAAATCAGAAATAACAGTTGCCATATATAGTTCTATCCTGTTTTCTAAGGCTCAGTCTTCTGTCTTCAGATTAATAAGAGGCTCATGTCTCATTGCTAATAGTAAATATACTCTTAAAATTACAGCAGGTACAATCAGCATCCTTTGCTTTATGTTTTCTCCATCAAAAAGATGTGCTGTCATCTCCCCAAATACTTATTTCCAACTTTCTCAGCAGACAGGAAGCCTCTTGCAGTGAGCAGATAATCCAGGTTGGTTTACTGTGGCCCCTGCTGCCAACAAACGCATCACATGGTGCAAACAGATGATTCCCAGGATGCAGAGCCAACAGCAGCAGCCTGCACGTGATTCAGCAACGGCTCCAAACACACAGGAAGAGAGGGGAGGGGTGAAAGCACCAACTATCAGGCCACTGTAACAGGATGTACTTACTGCCCTGCGCTAGGCTGCCCCAGATGTAATCCCTCTCCTGCCAGGCACGCATTACTGCCCTGACAATACGCCGCTGTTAGTGTACTGCAATGGCTGGGATCTGCAAATCAAGCCATGATGAGGGGCATGGGCGGTTCTAGACAGGGGCCAACGGGGGCCAGTGCCCCTGTAGCTCATGTCCAGGCCCCTTACTGAAGACATGATACTCAAAGAAATACTAATGATCATATTCGCTGGAACAGACATGGTTACTAACAGGTCCTTTGGATCTATTTCATTTTTTTTCTTTCAAAATACTGTTTTACTAATTATTTAGAAACAATACGCTAATAGCTTCAATGGTATTGAGATAGAATCCCAGTTTTTATCTGCTAAATGTTTTTTTCTAACCAAATTTAAGCCTGTTAATTTTTATCGTTAGCTGAATTAGACCACAGGATGGTTTTGCACTTAGACATGGTAGTAAAATAACCCACACTTGCACATAAATTGTGCTCAAAGTCTTTACTCACGTGTCACATCTAGTAAAGCGGTGTTTGTTGAGAGCAATATGTCAAAGGGGTTTGATGCTGATGATGATGATCCCCTCTGAGAGCTAAAGAGTCGCATACAAACTGTGCTGCCACCATTAAGTTTCCTGTCAACCTAGGGCTATGCTGCACCTGTCCACCTTAGGGTGGCTACTAATATCTTTGATCCAGACCGACAGGGTCATCAACTTATAACCTTTACAATTCCCTTTTGCACCGACAAGTCTCTTGGTTTTTTTGTGGTTTGAATGATGCTGTGACTAATGTGTTTGTCTGATTTCTAAAGAGCACCACCCTATGTTCTCAATCATTGCAGTCATTTTATTACGATCAGATTATAATTACCTGTTTGGATCTAAACTGCTGGGTAGGAAGAAATGGATCTCTTGAACATGTTGACAGTTTTATTGCATTTCAACCACAAACATCTATGTTTCCTAATGGAATTTAATGTACGGTAGTAGACCAACACAAATCAGGGCATAGATATGGAGGTTAAAATAATTTATTACAGCTGAATTGATCAGTTTTTCTTGAGTTATAATTCAGATTTGATAGAAAAGGGTAACTTTAACTTACTGTGCCCGAATATATTAGGAAAAATAACAAAAGTGCTTCTATAAGAAATTCATGAAAAACAATCAAAGAGTGAAAGAAACACATTTTGTTTGGTGAAACATAAACTTAGAGGCATTAATGCTGATACTGGCACCTGCATTTTTTAGTTTTTAAACCTAAGTATAACTGTTAACTAGGCTTATTAACTTTTTAACTTTTCAATTAGGTTTTTACCTTTTATTATTGACTTGTTAACCTTTTTAACTTAATTTCCAGTAGGTAATATATCATTCAAGGGCTCATCTAATTGGTCAAATGCCAAATTAAGATGTACCGCCATATAGCAGTATCTGTGCTGGATATAGATCTTGTGCTTCTAGATCTCCCTGAGGGACTCCATTTGTAAGGGGGTATGCAAGTGATCCAAAACACTAACTTGCCCTATAAAGGGTTAATATATTTGAACCACTTGCCCTGTTTTTTTTTTATATTTCATGCTTTACTGTGCCCCCTTGAAAACACGCTGGCCCCCTCCTGCATCTGGTCTAGGACTGCCACTGCTGAGGGGTCTCTTCTGTCCTTGTGTTTGTTTGTTTTTTCATAAGCAGCTGCAGCATCCATGCGCTGCAGGTTCTGTTTACACCGGCCTGTCAATAACAACAGACACTCTGTTTTCTCCTTATTGTTAGAATGAAACAGTAGCATCCAGCTCTATGTAATGTTTCCACTCTGCTCCATGAACCAGGGTGCAGGCTGTTTCCTCCTACCTAATGGCGAGCAGCTCACGCAGCAGGTAGGCTGCAGCGGCCAGCAGGGCCCCCCCGGTGATGTAGAGCGTCTTCTTCCACCAAGACTCCGAGACCAGAGCCGACATGATGCCTCCGTAGTCCTGCAGGGGAAAGGCGATGATATAGCCATACAAGGACTGCTGCTGCTCGGAGCCGCAGAGGCCGAGCGGCAGACTGTGGTTCCGGCCCAGTTCCACCACGCACGGCCGGGAGGAAGCGAAGCCAGCAGCCCAGTGCATCCTCCCAGCTTCGGTTACAGCCGCCCGGCTCCCTGCCAGCTGAGATCCCCGCTCGGCTTCATCCAAACCACCCGGTGGATTAGCTACGGCATGGCGGCGGGGCTCAGAGATGATTATCCATTAAACTGAGCGATAAAAACATAGCGGGGCCCTTCCTTCTGAGGAGGATGCTCGGCGTCCTGCTCCCCTCCCTCTGCGGCTTCTAGAAAGCGTTGGAAAACAAACTGGAAAAAAACAGCCGCGCTGCTTCCGGTTTGACCTTTCAAAATAAAGGTCTCATCAGAGGTTAGCTGAAGTTTTCCAAATTTCCCAATATTGATCTAAATAATGGGTTCCCAAACATTTCAACCTGTGACCCAAAATAACAATGCAACCGACCGGCGAGCCCCTATAAAAATACATATAATGATAACACTATACATTTATTTAAAAATATAAAAAGTGGTATTTTTGTTATTTTGTTTTAAAAGACAATTATTAGATTAATAGTCTTAAATGCATTTTTTTTGTATTTAGGTTGATATTGAATAATTCACTTTTACATTTTAATATTTAAATAAAGTATTATTAAAGAAATACATAAATGTGACATTACCTATTTGGGGATATTTACATGCATGTATTTCATGATACATTTTTGTCCCTCCAAGTTCCTCTGGGATCACATCACAATGATTGTGAGAACCATCTCACTTGGTGTGAGAACAGGTCTGTATATTTCCCTTAATTCAGTTAAATTCACTATCATCCTAAAGATGACTTTAGTCTGTCAAAGTTATTTATTATTGGGGGGGGGGGGGGGGGGGGTCAAAAGGTCAAAAGCAAAAAGTGGGTACTTAAAATAACCAAGAATATATTTTCAGTTGTTTCACGATTTTTTTTGTTAAGTATATAATTCTTCATGTATTAATTCATAGTTTTGAATACTTCAGCGTGAATAATTCTTATCTAACATTTAAAACAATAATAATAATAAACATAATAACAATAAATTGAAGGTGTATTAACAAATAGAAAACGTATGAAATGTTGTTTTACTTTGTAAAAGACAAGTGGCATCATTTCCGGTATGGAGGTGTCCGTCACCTTGACATAGCTTCCCCCATTGTCTAACTCCAGTGATGGGGTCACCCCGCCCTGCAGCGTCCCGGTGAAAACACCTCTAGCTTTCATAACAAGCTGAGCACTAATTCCCATAAATGGAAACCGACAAATAAACACCGTATTTACTTATTTTAAGTGTAAAAACGTTGTCGGACACGTGAGTTTTAACACATTTTAAAAACATAGTTAAAGAAAATGTTATAATCAAGTATCTACTCACTTTGGAACAACCTCGGAGGTGCAGGAGGACGGTCATGTTGATGACCGAACCCTCAGCAGCAGCAATTGGGAGTTTATGAACTAATCAGGGACCTTTAATCTTTACGCGCGTTTGTTTTATTCGCCACAGCTGGATCGCGTGGAGGTTACATGCATTGAAATTCAGTAAAAAAATAAAATGCTCTTCATACCTTTATAATTATAATAACATATTGTTTTTTATATAGATAGATAGATTATTTTGTTCTATAAGACGGTAACATTCTGTCCTTGGTCTCATTGGAACATTGTGAGAGGATGATTTATTCTCTGAGGGGAGATTCTGTGTTACATAACTCTCCCATAAAAGACCCATCATAATCCAGGGTGAAGCGACCCCCTCCTCCTCCCCCTCAGAGTGGGCTTAAAAGCTAAATATGGAAAGATGTGAAGCCATGTTTTTATTAGCCTACAGCGTAACATAAATCTAAACTCCAGGAGATATAACTGACATAAGTCCATTTTAATAGACAATAATTTGTCTTAAAACATTCAAATTAATCATTGGAAAAAAGGAGAACAGCATCTGATGAAATTAACACACCAAAACGATATGCTTGAGATTAGGAAGTTAGGTGTCAGAACTACTCCAAGGCATCATCTTCAAACATCTTCTTAAGACACGTCAAGAGTTTAACAAAACCTTATTCCTAGTGTTCACACATCATTCGACACCCAAACTGTCTCTAATCTGTGTTTCACAGATGACCAGAGGCCCATCCAGCTAAACCTCTTGATCCATGGTTGATTTTTTCCCCCCCTCTTTGTTTCCGAAGCAGCTCAGCTGTGTGTGGGCTCACGCTGGTCCCCATCGGGACCGTTTCTGTCCTCAGCTCCTACATCCTGTTTGACAGCATGGACAGCATAGTTAATGGCAGTGGTGTTTGTCCAGCTCCAGGCTCCTGAAAGTGGGTTGTAAAGCATTCCTTGGACAGACTGCACCAAGAAACCATCTGAGAAAGAGCAAAAAAGCAGAAAAGAAACTGAGAAGGTGAAATTCAGTACAACTCTGCAGACAAATATCCAACAACTGCATGAAATTTTAACTATAATAACTGACACATTAAGAAGTGCATTATTTTTCTTTATTTTTTGCAGCTTTCTTTCCTTATTGGGGGAATCTGAGACTCACTGGACTCCAGGAGGCGCTCCAGCTCCACAGGGCTGACAAACTTCTCCCAGTCGTGTGTCCCTCTGGGAACGATGCGCAGCAGCTGTTCAGCTGCGACGATTGCCAGAGCGTACGACAGGTTGGTTTTATTTATCGTGGTGATGAAAAGCGAACCTCCGGGCTAAGACAGAGAAACGACCAGAAACACTTAGATCAGGAAATGCAGACTTTCCTAAATTAAAGGTATAGATGAGGATGTTCTATTTTCAGGTGGATCATCTCAATAATTGGTCCTCCTGATTGTCAATCATTCTGGTGATATGTTTACGTAAGGCCGTCCTACGTGCTTGTCCACATTTTCATTTATCGGTGGTGAGTCTGACATTGTGGATAAATTGCAAATCTTCTTTTGGAAATTAAGCTTGTATGAGCTATGAGAACGGAAACTTTTAAACAGAGCGTGCACGAGGAGAAATACGCTTGTGCACGCTCTCGCACGTGCATAATAGGCATTCCCTCTCAGGAGCGGGTACAGGGTTGTGTATGTGCAATTTTTTTTTTTAAGTGGAGAGGGCGGGTCTTCTCAAAAAGTTCCTTGAAGATCACGAAAACCCTCACCTATACCTTTAAAATGCATCATAAAAATGTCTGATGACATCTCTAGTGTTAGAATAACAAGAGATGTCACCACCCAAAGAAAATAGTGCAGTTCTTCCTAATACAACTTCTTATAACAAAAGGAGGTTTTTGACAAATTGACAAGTTGGTGATGAAAACAAATTTAGCTTCAATATTAGGGAGTAGTTTGAAGTGACATCAGAAGAAGAAAAAGCAGATAGATTTCATAAGCTACTTAAACCTCTGTGGTTCACTCAGATTGAGAGAGAGCAACACTTTCAGGAGATAACAGGAAGGCTGAAAGGACTACAGCAGATTCAGGTTATCTTAGGCTTGCCATGATAAGTGCTGTCCCAATAGTGCTGGCAGTAAGGTAGGTTAAGTACCCTGTAATCTTCCCATCATAGTTATTTTACCATAGGAAGATCAAAGGGTTCCGAAGTGGAACTTTGAAGCTATAAGCAACCCCACAATCCAGAGCTCAAAAAAACTCTTCCTCACCCACCGTGGGTGGTCTCCCTTTTTCCCCCCGAGCTCGGGTCCTCTACCAGAGGCCTGGGAGCTTGAGGGTTCTGCGCAGTATCTTATTTTTCCCTAGAACTGATCTTTTCTGGACCAAGATGTCTGATGTATTTCCAGGGATCTGTTGTAACCACTCTTCAAGTTTGGGGGTCATATCTGTGTTCACTGCGACAAACACGCAGACGACCTGATTTCTGAGGGTAAATCAGCCTTTACAACCTGCAGTTATGTGCTGGATTGTCTCAGGGGCCTCTTTGCATAGTCTGCACTAGGGGTCTTGTCTGGCGCAGTAGATCTGGGGCTCTATTTCTCTGGTGTTAACAGGGCCTGCTTCTGTGCAGCCATGATCAGTGCCGCTGTGCTGTACTTCAGTCCGGCTACGTCTAGACATTGGTAGGATTTCCTGATACTGTATCTGCCGCTTCGTTTAAGTGAGTAAGTTTCCTGAGCTATCTCTATAGTTATGCTGCTATAGGTTTAGACTTCTGGAGGACATAGGGACCCCCATTTCATCATTCTATCTCTATTCTCCTACTCTGCAGAATCTGTTAGTTCAATCTCTAACTTTATGCTCTTAGAGTAGATTTGCCTCGTCTGTTCCTGTTTGGCTGTGACGCCATCCTGGAGAGACAGTCCTCGTTAGCCTGGCTGTGTGTTTCCTGGACGGGGCCGCCGTCAGCTGCTTGCAGCTGCTTTTTGTATCTCTGCTTCTGTCTCCTTTAACCCCAGTCAGCCTCAGCAGATGGCCGCTCACACTGAGCCTGGTTCTGCTGGAGGTTTCTTCCTGTTAAAAGGGAGTTTTTCCTCTCCACTGTCGCTACAAGCATGCTCAGTGTTAGGGATTGTATTTGAGTCAATGCCACCAACTGGTTTTCCTTAGATAGAAACTTTTGAATCAGTTTGACTGGATGATCTGGTTGAACTGTAAAGTGCCTTGAGATGATTTGTGTTGTGAATTGGCGCTATAGAAATAAACTGAATTGAATTGGTACATCCCCTGTAGGGGCTCAACCTCCCATGATGGAACAGGACAGCTTTAGTCATTTTGTTCATTGTTCATTCATTCGTTCAACCAGCACCAACACACAACCTTCACTGTTGCTTGTTAATGCTAGCACCAAACCACACACATTCTTTCCCAGGGCAACAACGCAGAGAACATGCAATGATGAAATGATAAAAATACACAGGAGACTCGCTCGCGACAAGACGCACCTTCAGAACGTGACTGCAGCAGATGGCGAATGTTTCCAAGTCAGCCAGATGCTCCACAACTTCAGACGCCACAATGGCGTCAAACTGGGTCTCCGTCTGCTCCTCCTGCTTTGCCTCCCCGTCGCCTGAAAGCTCCTCCAGGGTGCAGGCCCGGTAGGACACCCGGTCTCGAAGGTCTGGGTCGTGTGACGAATGCAGCTGGGCGATGCGGATGCTGTCTTCTACTGGATCTATACCCAACACAGTGGCTCCCAGACGACCCAGTGGCTGCAGGGAGAGAATATGAGATCTTTATGTCAATTCATTTTAAATAAAAACTATATTTTCAGGAGAGAGAAAAAAAGAAAAGAGCTGCAGAGATTCTGTCTCCTCAGGATTTATCAAG